GAAGAGGAGAGAAAGAGATTGAAGAGGGGGGGAGTGGAGGGTGACTTAAGAGAAGGAAAGATAGAGAGCATGTTTTCAGGCGTACAGAAGGGGTGATGAGGAGACAAAATGTCTTAAGGGTAGGTGATAGAGATAGAGGAGGGAGGGGTAGAGAGTTGTTGAGAGAAAGAGAGAGGGGGAGGGATACTTTCCCAACAGCTGTTTTTGTTTCTGTTCAGGCTTTCTTAATTAATGTTTGTGGGGGTGTGAAAACCCTGTTGTCTAGTCTGGATTAAAAAGCACATGTGCGCGCACACGCACAGCACACACACACACACACACTTACACACACACACGATCCATTCATATACACACACAGGCACAGTGTTGAACCGGCTGCATTTTTGTTGCACAATAGAATGGGACACCAGACAGGAGTAGGGAGATAATAGCTTTTTGACAACCTAACCCTGACACTCTAAAGGGGGCCTGGTTCTCTTCGCCGGTTCCTAAATCTGTTCTGGGTCCTGTTTTTTTTTTCTCCTTTTTCTTTTTTCGTGACCATCTTTCTGTTTGTTTTTTCAAAAGTAAAAAGAATTCCAGAAAGAAGAAAACTAGATAAGATTTTGGGGTAGGCGTTTAAGAATTTAGAAAAAGTATTCCTGTCTAGGAAAGGAGAAAAAAGTATCAGAGTACAGATGAACTCCATTTAAGACTTGAAGACGGCCCCCCGTCGTTGTGAAGAAGTTGATCACTTTCATCAACAGCAAGGCAAATGAATAAACTTTAAGATGATCCCAATGTCTCCATGTGCCCAAATGTTGACGAGCGCCCAATTCCACCGCTTTGTGGCACATATGAATATAGAAAAAAATGCAAGAGAGGTAGTGGGAAGTTGTTGTTTGTGTAAACGATTGTCTTGGACAGGTGATTGTTAGAGCAGCACATGTCTCCAGGGTAGGTAGGGAGCTTATGGATTTTTCTGTGTCCTTTCATTACATTGTGCCGTTATTGTGTCTGTATCTCTCTGTGAGCTAATGCTTATCGGTCTGGGAATGGGGTGGGG